TTGATGAGGGTCTTTGGTGATTCAATAAAATGTGGGGGGAAAATGGTATAGAAATAGATAACAGAGACAGTGTGGGAGGAGAACAGGAGGTGGCAGAGGGTAAGAGAGGGAACCAAGGATGGGGGAGAAAAAGCAAAACATACAGAAAACAAGAAATGGAAGATCATTTGCTAATAATAACGTTTGTTGATGTGCTTGATTGAGACAATATACAGTGTACTCTGGATGGAAAATCTCATTGTGTATGCTGTAACGATGTACAGTGAATGAATGCAAATAAATTGGAAAAATAAAAAATAAAAAAAATTTTAAAAAAACGAAATATATAAACCGAGCAAGTCCTGTTTGCTCCACCTTCAGACGTCTTTTAAGAGTTTCACTTCATCTCATCCTTTCCAGTCTTGTCACCTGGTTCCAGCAGTGACTGTTTGACACTGTCACTAGAGTCTACTTGGTCTTCTTCCCTCTACTCCTATCATCCCTCTACCTCTAACCTCTACTCAGCAGCCAATAGAATCGTTTTTTTTTTTTTTTAGAGGTTTTTGCTATAGGGCGAGTGCGTTCGCCAGACAGACAGAGAGACAGAAAGCGAGAAATCACCCCCCAGGGGGGATGGCCACGCCGCAATCCCCTCTCCTCCGTACTCTCCTCGGGATCTTGGGCACGCACGCATACGCACCCGGCGTGAGTTTTAAGCCACCGGGTCCGGGACGCGAACCGCGGTCGACTACGTGGGAGTCCAGTGACATAGCCATTATGTTAACTGCTGGTCCTCCAGAATCTTTTTAAAGAGGTTTTTGCCTTAGGGCATGTGTGCTCACTGGAGAGAGAGAGGCAGTGAGAGGGAAAGTGAGAGATCACCCCCCAGCAGGGATGGCCATGCCACAATCTCTTTTCCTCCTAGGATCTTGGGCACTCACACGCATGTACCAGGTGTGATGTTCATGCCACCAGGTCTGGGATTGACTGCAGTCCACCAAGTGGAAGCCCAGCAGCATAACCAAACCACTATGCCATTTGCTGACCTCCAACAGGATCTTTTAAATAATAAATCAGGTATTGCTTCCCTACTCAAAACCTTCCAGTGGTTTCCCAGTTACTACTAAAGGCCTAATGTGACAGGCCCCTCACACACTGATGTAGTCTCGACGGCCATCTTGTCCTCCATGGAGAGCTTCTTGCACTTGCCAAGTTCCCATCACAGGGCCTCGCACTTGCCATTCCTTAGGTATGAGACGCTCTCCCAGCCCAGCCTCTAAGCTGCTCCCTCAGTCCATTCAAGTGAACCTATGCCCTCAACCGTTACCTCCTTCCTAGCAATCGCCACGTGTAAAATATCAACACAACCAGCATTCTTTTTTTCTTTAAAGAATTATTTAATCTGGGGCCAGCAGGTGGTGTGGTGGTTAAGGGTGCTGAACTCCCATATGGCCAACCATAATTCGAGGCCCGGATCTGGCAGCTTGCTTTCTCACTTTCCCTTGTTCTCGTGTTCTCTCTCTCTCTCTGTCCCTCTCGGGCAAAGTTAAATAAATAAATAGATAAATAAATAGGGGCCAGCAGGCGGTGTGGTGGTTAAAAGCGCCAGACTCCCACATGGCCAACCGTGGTTTGAGTCCCAGACCTGACAGCTTGCCTTCTCACTTTCCTTCTCTCTCTCTCTCTTCCTCTCTCTCTCTCACTTGCTCTACTCCTCTCTGATCAAATTAAAATAAGTAAATGAATAAATAAAGTTAAATAAAATAATTATTAAAAATAAAGTTAAAATAATTTTTTTAAATGATTCTTTTATTTATTGTTTCAATTGGACCAGAGACAGAGAGAGGGAAAGTGAGAAAGCAGGCCACCGGGTCTGGGACTCAAACTGTGGTCAGCCAAGTCGGGGTCCAGCGCCTTACCCACCATACCACTTACCAGCCCTACCAACCATCTTTCTTAATTGACTTAATGGTTTAATAGCTTTTAGTATGACCTGAAAACACATGTATTTACTGAGATAAAGTTGTTTGCTTTATTGACTTTTTCCTCCACTAGAATTATAAGCTCCGTGAGTATTTACTCTATCCCCAGTCGGTGGGAAAATGTCTAGCACATACTAAGTGTTCGAGAACACTCGTCACTGAGTGGTGCTGGGAGCACCTGGGAGGGGGCCATAAGAACAGACACGGCATTCTGCTGTACAACATCGCTGCTGTGTTACTGGGTTTGTGTGAAGAGGAAGTGTGAGCTGGATCTGCGTAGAGGGGATGGAATGAGGAAGACCAATTTATCCAGATGCCAAGACTCCGACTTATTCATTTAGATGAAAATCTGCCAGGTTGGGGCTGGTGGGTGGTGTGGTGGTAAAGGGAGTAGGTTTCTCGCATGGTTGACCATGGTTCAAGTCCCAGACCTGGTGGCTTGCTTTCTTGCTTTCCCTTTCTGTCTGTCTGCCTCTGGTCAAATTAAACAATCATAATAACAAATGGAATTAATTAAATAAATAAATCTTAAAAAAAAGAAAGAAAGAAAGAAAGAAAAGAGAAAACCTGGCAGGTGACTTCAGGTATGTTTTCTGTAAGAATAACACATTGGTTGTCGGAAAAGCCATGACGTATTTTTTCTATGTAAAATGCATCATGACTTTTCTAACAACCCAATAAAACTCCGGAGTTAATTCTCCTGGGCTGACTGTTGGCACAGCAGAGGGGGCTGAGCCTGTCAGCCTCCTGGGATCTTTGTCCCAAGGCTCCAGGCCCTGCATGGCTGGCAGGCATGGAACAGCACATGGTGATGAAATGCTGCAAGGTGAAGCCTCAAGCCTCCCCTGATGTTGCTGTCACTGGCTTCATGACTTGCGACTTGTGGCACCTGGAGGCCTCATAGAAGAGCAGGGTGATATGAAGGGTTCAGATGCGGGACACCTGAGATCCAGGTGACTGGGCAAGCCACATCCCTTCTCTTGTCCTTGTTCTGTCTTTAACTGAACCATAGGGAGCTGAATCGAATATTTTATTAAGTCCTCTTCAGCGGTTTCAGTAATTACAAGAGCTTCGTGTAGCAGATAAACTGGACTAGACCTTTAAGGCCCTTAAGGGCCGGGCGGCAGAAGAGAAACCCAACGTGGAGATTAAACTGAGGCTGAGCTGCAGGAGCACAGCAAGGCCAGCAGGTGGAGCCATTGCTACACTAGGACGCTCAGGCCAAAGGTGGTAAAATTTGACTATAGATAGCAAATGAGTCCTGCAGGGCAAGCTTTGCCGACATTAGGGAATCAGAGGTCCCCTCACCCTATCCCACCCCCAACGCACGCGCGCGCGTGCGCACACACACACACACACACACACACACACACAACTTCCTCTCAAAGCCTCTGCACTCACTCCACACTAGATACTTGTTTGCGACACTCCTTTGGACACTAGGCCTGCCTGAGGCTGGAAGTGGTTCAAAGACCCAATTATTTCCCCCTCCCATATTTCCTGAGTCTCTAACCTTGCATCCAACCCATTATCCCGGATACCCCTAACTATCACTCTTGAAGTGAGGTGTGTAACCAGACAGAGGTCAACTGGGTTTTCTCTTCTGACCCAATACCCAAATCAGCCAAATCACCTCCTAGGGAAGGTTCTAGACCTCACTCCTTTGCCTCCTCAGTCCTGAGGAAGAACTTCCAGTTAAAGATGGAAAAAGGAAAAAAAGAAACGGGGTGGGAGTTGCTAAAGGGAAAGGTCTGACTGTGGCGAGATAAGAGTGGAATAATCAACCTTTGTTTGGCCCCAACTACCTCTGCCACTGTTGACAAGCTTGGGAGTGTTTCCTGAAGCTACTGGTAGGTTCGGCACCCCCGCCCCCCACTACACATACATACATACACACACACACACACACACACACACACACACACACACTTCCTGTGGTCTGGGGGTGGGAAGGTGGGGTGGGCATCTGGAAGCTTGGGGGAGGTGAGTGATTACAGAATTTCCTTTTGCAGTTGAACTGCTGTCTAGCTGGGGCTGAGAACCAGCTCCAAGATGGGAGAGGGGGGAGCAGGCAGAGCTCTAGAAGAGTCCCCATAGTTCTTCACTATTTCTGCTCAAAGCTCAGGGCAGGAAGTGGTCTGCTAATACAAGGTTAATAGGACATGGCTCCTTCTTTGTTTTGCATAATTTGCATATGACCAACAATGGTCCTCTTCTCAAGAGTCGTCATGAGGGTACAGCTCATAGGTGCCCAGCCCACCACCCTCCATCTCGAAGGTCCTTGATGCATTGGACCTACCTTTCTACCACTGGAAATACCCAGCTTCCCTGGGAGCTCCAGGGAGCTCCCGTGGAGGACTAGTTGACAGACTTGGCCAAAGGTCTTTAGTGTCCTGGTTGGTACCTGTGTTTCCTCGGATGGTGCACTCTCTTCCCTAGCTAGCTCCTCCCCACCACAGAGCTACCACCATTTAGGTCACTCTGGCATTCAGACACGCCCAGCTGGGATAGAGCCACAGGACAGACATGTTTCAGATTCACTTTAATTACAGTATTTACACACACTTTTTATTCAGAAAAAAAAATTCCACCTAATCATCTCATCTCTGGAAAGTTCTATTTCCAACCGTCATTGTTCACCCTTCTAGAAAAACAGTAAAGAAACGAACAAACAAACAAAACAAGCAAGGACCTGGGTCATTCATAGAGAAAGCAGCTTGTGATCAGGGTCCCTGGGAGATGTCCCAAAGTACAGAGCAGTGAAGGGGTTTGGGGCGGGGAGGGAGAGACAAAAAGAAGTCTTCTGGGGTACAGCGGACACAGCTCAACCCAGGAGTCAAAATGAGAAAGGAGGAAGCCGTAAAGATCAGAGGATAAGGCCAGGACCCAACTTAGAGAAAGAGGAGTAAAGATCAGAGGATAAGGCCAGGACCCAACTTAGAGAAAGCGGATTCCTTAGAAGAGCACAACCTCGACTCCGCTCGGCTCAAAGAACTGGTTCCATGGTCCTGCCCTCTTTGACCCAGAGGGAAAAAGTGAGCCCAGTTCCAGGCTTCAGTGGAAACTGTGCAGATCTCTGTTCACAGGTAAGAAGACACTTTGGGGCTCAGTGGTACTTATGGGGTAAGGGGAGAGCTGGTGACCAATTCCACAGGATCTTGGAAGAGGGATAAGAGAAGTGATTTAAGACAACACAGCATTCTGGCTATACCACAAAGGAGCAGATACAGATGGTTACTTTGGTTTCCCTAGAGAAGAGAAAAAAAAAAAAAATCTAAGAAAGATACAGTAAAAATCATAGCTTCCTGGGAGGAAATGGTACTCTAGAAAAGCCTATCCTTTTCCCTGGGGATTCCTATAATGAGATGGTGAAGAGATGGTCCATGGGTAAAGGTTGCAAGGACACCCACCCTCCCAGGAAGCTTCTCTGGACCTTTGCTTTGCGCCATTACACTGTTACCCAAAGAAGACCAGAGTCTGGGTTCAGGGAACTAAAGGTGAAAAGGGCAGGTGTTTAACCTGCCTCTCCCCAAGAAAAGCCCCAGGTAGAACCCCTGAGGTGTGTGCAGTAGGCAAGAGTGGGACATAGGGACGCCCCCGGCATGGAGGTGGTATGTGGTTAGATGCAAGGAGGGGTTGTGTTCCTGGATACCACCCAACCCTGACCCACCCAGCCAAGTCACAATTCGGTATCAGCCACATGTTGTCTTGCTGAATGGCCGTTTCTGGAAGTGGCCTGGCCGGTCCCGTTCTCCTGAGCCCCTCGGTTCACACTGGCCTTTCCCTGAGCTTCCGAGGAAGCCCCAGGTCCTGAGCTATAGCCCTGGCCTCCACCATTCTCCGTGTAATAAGGGTCTTCACCCTAGACAGTGTATAAATAAAGTAGCATTCTGTAAGCAGGCATGTAAGACAGTGTGGGTGGGGGCAGGGGAACAGCCCAAACAGGAAGTGAGGGAGGGAGCAGGAGGAAGGGTGCAGCTGCCTGTGCAGACTCTTCTTCCTGAAGTGCAGTCAGGGTTCCAGCTCCTAAAGGAGAAAGGACAGTGGAGAGGCACCACACCGTGCCACTGCAGCTCAGTAGCCAGCTCCCACAAGAAAACAGGCAGTCCAAAAGGGTAGAACCTCCCCAGGGTGGATAATAGGCCAGAGGCCAAGAGTCAAGCCTCAGCTTTGTCCTCCCTCATCCAGAACACTTCAAGACTAAATTTTCTTTCCTGTGAGCAAGGTCACACCCATTAGACCTTTAAAATGCTTACAAATAAGTAGCAGCCTGTCTTGGTTGTACCCAGCTGAACTATCCCAGAAAACACACTAGATGATACGAAATCATCTGCTATTACAGTGAGTAGGTGTGCTGGCCCCTCCTCAATCTGCTATGTATTGTTCTGTATCTTCCATGGATATGGATTCTGTGCACATACCTATCCCTACATAAAGATACAGAAGTGATTTTCCTGGTATTTTTCTTCCTCCTCCTTGATTTCCATGGATCCCTCCCCAAAAGACCACTAGCTTCTTCATTCCATTTGCTCCTGGACCCCAGAACTGACCAGCCTTTCTCCTGTGGGGCTCCAACTGCGGCGGTTCATCAGGAAATAGCCAGTAGTGCCCAAGGCAGCCAGCAGGATACCCGAGGTGACCAGTGCAATCAGGGTCTTTCGGGAATAGCTCTGGTGGTTTGCAACATTTTGTTCAGTGAAGTCATGGATTCCCAGCTTGAAGAGAAGGCACAGAAAAGACAGCCCATCACGTGTGGAAAGTGGTTTCTAGAAGAACATGACTCAACAGTGAATAGACTCAAGAAGACATTGAATGCAAAGACTTTTGAAATAGGATTTAAGACTTATCTCTCTTATTTAAGCTACACAATAAAATTTTGCTTCAAGCAAAAAAGGTGACTACTGTTAGAGGAGGATGAAGAGGCAAGAAGGGTAAGACTAGAGAAGATAGTTACTTTTTCCCTTCCTCTAGACCCTGTCTTCTCTCTGAGACCCATAATCTCAAAGAACTTACCTCTCTCAGGTCAGACTGGTGCATTTTCATAAGTCCAAGTTTGTTGGAAAGTTCTAGAATTAGAAATAAGGGTTGAGAGATCTAGAAGCTAGGTCAGCTCTCCTGCTCTACTCTCCCACACTGTTCTAGAAGATGCTCTGATGGTCAGGGTAGTCCTTCTCAGCAGGGCCTCTCTGTACATCAGCCATATCCTTCTCCCCATCACCTGTGGTCTATGGAACTGAGATGCCTGGTTTCCACCCAGGATTTCCTTCCTCAGTTCTACTCCCTCCCCAGCCCCCCAGACAGATATCCCTTACCTGTTCTGTTGTCCAAGACCAGCATCAGGCACCGAGGACTAATTTCAGACTGGGCCAGGCGTAAGGAGCACACCCCAACACTAGCCTCAGCCTCAGCTTGCTTCTTCACACATAGCACTTGGATCAGGCCCTCTCCTTTCTCTTTCTTAAAGTCCTCCTGGGAAGACAAAAAAATATGGAGAGAGAAAAATGAAATTACTAGTATATCTGAACTACATTCAGAGTCTCAGGTCATAATTTTGATTAAAATCATACAATTAGCACTTCCACAAAAATAATCCTTCTTTCTAAAACTCCAACTAAAAACAAATAAAAAAAAAACTTTCTAGTTGTATATGTACAACACAATAAAGAAAAAAACAAAAACAAAAACACCAGAAACCCAGACTAGCCAGTAGCATGGTGGATAAAATGGTTGAATTCCAAATAGTCAACTACACGTTCCAGTCCCAGACCTGACAGCTTGAAAAATACTCTGGGCATATGTGCATATGTGCTCAAAATCCCAAAAGAGGAGTGAAAAAGAAGGGATTGTAGTATGCCCATACTTCCTGGGAGGTGCTTTCTTATTTTCTCTCTCTCCTTCTCTCTCAAGAACATGAGCCCTATAGCAAATTAAAAAACAAACAGTCCAGAACAAAAACAAAACATTTATCTACTCGTATCTAAGACATAAGAAAAAAAATCCTTAAGGATTGCCTATATAGAGACATGCTATTCAAATTAAATTCAAACAAATTGCACAGAAAATATTAATAATGCCATAATAATTAAGGGAAAATCCTTTGTTTCAAGATTACAATACTCCCAAATGATGCAGAGAAAGCAAGGGCAGTAAGATGAGCATAAGCTACAGCTGTGTACTTGATGGGACACTCTGTGGCTTCTCTCTCTTACTATCTATCCTAAGGGGTCCCACCAAAACACATTGCTTGAACCAAAATGGTGTTTTCATCTGGTCTTCTATCCCCATTTTCCATTATAAGCATAGAACCCAGTTTCAATGAAGTTCATGGATCTTTCTTCAGGTTGCACACTGATCTAGAGAACTCAAAAATTATACTCTATTAATTCTTTAATAACTTAGTCCCAGGAAAGGCATAAGTTGGAAGCATTGGCCATGCCCTCTAAAACCCTGTTCCCCTATTCCCTAGGGTTTATTCCAGCAGCTTCTAACCTGAGTAACTTCCCCTGCACAGGAAAGGAACCACAACTAAGACTTTCTCCTCTATTCAGATGGCAGATGGTAGAGGAGGAAATGCCTGACCAGCTCTGACAACTTTCCTGTTAGGGGAAAACTGCTGAGGCGTGTGACAGTCCTCAGAACTGAGCCTCCATGGAGGAGACAGCTTCCTGTTTGCAGGCAGGTCTGCAAAGCCAGAGGTCCTCCCAGTTGGAATGGAGCCTGGGTATTTTCCTACTGCCGTGACCCAAGACAGGAAAACCCCGGTTCCTTGCTTCTTCTCCTGCACAAGTCAAGGTCAAGATTGGCCTAGGCCCCAGCTTTCTTCCATCAGTTGGAATTTAAAGGAGCTAAAGGAAAATAACTGGGCTGAGATGAGGCCAGGTGGCATGACTAGCCAACCTTTAGGTACAGAGTTGTGAGTCCAACAGTAACCTCAAAACCCCCCATGAGACAAGGTCACAGAGAAATGAATTCTCAGATCAGTGTTGCTTCATCCCTCCGAAGGATTCACAAGTCCCCTAGTAAGTCCTTGGAGAGGGACTCTATTTCTAGAAGAATCTGGACTTTGTAACAGCCTTTGCAATAGGTCATCTGGGCACCACATCAGAGGCAATCCTCCCTCTCTCTCTAGACCCAGCTCTCCTAGGCTACCATGACACGGCTTCCCGTCGAGTTCCATGCCCACCTTCTGGATGATGGAAGGGAAGTCCTAGCCTGAATGGTTCTGGGCTTCTGAAGTGTCTCTGACTAAAATGTATCTGTTTCCTGAGAGAGGCCGATGGACAGGGCTCCTGCAGGATTAAACCAGCCAAGCAGAATGGCATCTTCCTCCACCTGCTGAGTCCTAGGAACTCAACAACATTCAGCCTTTCAACATTGGTCAAGCCCTGAGCATAAGACACTGTGTGAAAATCTGTGTGTGTGTCATGTGGGTGTTACGGACACACAAAGGAGAATGAGGACACATCTGGTTTGGGGGTAGCAGAAATATCTCCGAATGGACCTTGAAGAATGGGTAGAACTTGTGCAGATGAGGCTGGTGGGGAAAGGTTTACGAGCTGAGGCCCCAGCCTGGGGAAGCCTAGGTGTGTGAGGCTGTGCACTGTTCCCCAGCCCTGGTTCCAAGGAGAATAAATGCTGCCTTCTCCCTTGTGGTGTTGCTTCTCCAGACAACTCAAATTTCTCCTTCTCAAAGAAGCCACACCTTTCTTTGACCAGACTGGGCATAATCTTTGCTCTGCTATTTACCAAATTCTCTGCAAGTCATACAACTAGTCTGAGTCTCAGGTTCCTTGGCTGTAAACTAGATTGTAGTGACTAAAGGGATATTATATGAAAAGTGTCCAATATGGTGTTGAGAACCTATTGGGTACTAGGTAAACAGTAGCTATTATGATCACTATTAATAACAAAGCAACACGATGTCATGTTCAAGGTCAAGTAAGGTTAATGTCTCTGTCAGTGATTTGACTGTTACACACTGTACACATGCTTCTAAAGACCACGCTGTACCCCACAAAGATGTACAATCATTATTGGGGCTCTCGGAAAGGCATGATGCATTTTTGCAGAGAGATGTCGTGACTTTCCTGACAACCTAATATATATATAAACCAGAAATCATAACTAAAATATATCTTAAAAATATTGGGACCAGCAGTTGGCATAATGGCTACACTGCTGAACTCGCAGTTCGAGTCCCAGACTCAGTGGCTTAAACTCCTGCCGGGCGCATGTGAGTGTGTGCCCAAGATCCTAAGAGGAGAATGGAGGAGAAGGGACTGTGGCATGGCCTTTCCCTCTAGGGGGTGATTTCTCACTTTCTGTCTCTGTCTCCCTCTGTCTTTCTGGCGAGCGCACGCACCCTATAGCAAAAACCTCTCCAAAAACTATATATATATACACACACACACATATATATATATAGCAATACTTTTTCTACTAAATCATCTAGAATTCACACTCTGTTCATATTCTGCCTTATTATCACCACCATTTCTCTCTGACTAGACCATAACACCCTAAATTGACAAGGGGAGACATTTCATAATCTTCAACCCAGACTGCACCAAACAAAGAAAACAACTCAGGGAATTGTTGTTCAACTTAATATCCAAACTGGTTGGCCTCCAAATAAGGTCCCTCCACCCCTTGCTTGGTTTCCTGGACTAAATTCAAGGAATTACAGTGGCCAGCCTCCCACTCTGGAATCCAACAGCATCAGTGAATTGTATTTGGGCCTGGTGAGGAGCAGGTGGATCCTGAACAAAGCACAATGCTTCTCCGGATGCTTGAGATAAACATCCTCTCCCAGGAGAGACTGTGGGCCAACATCATGGGAGAGTGGGCAGGAGGAAGCCACAGACTTACCATTTTGTTCATGAGATTCAGATTTACCAACCCCTAACTACATCTGTCCACATGCTATATTGCAAAATAAACAAACCACCTAACCTTTCTAGAGAGTAGCATCTTCAGGCTTTCCAAAGACTCTTTTAAAAATTTTACTTATTTGTTTTTAGAGAGATTTTTTGCTATAGGAAATGTGCACTCATCAGAGAGAAAGCAAGTAAGAAATCACCCCCCCCCAGGGCAGATGACTATGCTACAATCCCTTCTCTTCCAGTCTCCTCTTGGGAATTGGGGCACGCACGCACATGTACTGAGCATGAATTTTAAGCTGCCAGGTCCAGGACTCGAACTGTGGTTGACTACGTAGGACTCCAGTGATGTAACCATTACACCATCTGTTGGTCCCTGCAAAAACTCTTAACATGCTAAAGAAGGAGATGGAACACTGGGGGCAGGGATAAGCATTTTTCTAAGTGAGCTTTTAGATATTTTCCACTGGTCAGTCATCCCTTCCACCACACACACATATGCCACACACATACACACACATTCCTTCTAAAATAATTTTACCTACTTTGGTGTGAGTTCAACAATACAGGTAAAACCCCTATTTTCTCACAGGTATGGGAGTAATTAGGGGACCTGCTGTATGCTTTAAGTCACTCAACAAGTGGGCAGCTAACCAAGGACAAGAAGTTAAATTGTCTCCAGATCTCAAGCTCTTTCGGGTAGCCACATGGTCTTCACAACGTCTTCATCTGTAACTTGGGTTTCTGTGTTTAACCGACCTTCAGTGTTTGGGCAGAGGGCAAGGAAGGTGGAGGCTAAGGGATATGCACTGGAGGCTGAAAGCAACGTGCCTCAGATGAAGTCGAGGTGATGGAATAAGGGTAACGTGAGCTAGCTGAGTATGTGCAAACTCTGCATGAAAACAGACATGGCACTAAAGAAAGGTAATTCTATAAAACAAACTGGGGGGTGGAAGTCTTAACCAGGCATTTTTCCAAAGAAGATATGCAAATGGTCAAATACGTGAAGAGATGCACAATCTCACTGGTCATCAGGGTAATGTGAATTGAAACCACAATGAGATCCCACCTCATATCAACTAGGATGACAAGTCCAAAAAACAGAAAACGTGAGTGTTGATGAGACTGTGGAGAAATTGGAACCTTCATGCACTGTCAGTAGGAATGTAAAATGGTGCAGCCACTGTGGAAAATGGTGTGATGATTCCTCAGAATTCAGAAATACAATTACTGTGATTCAGTAATTCCACTTTCAGTGTATATCCAAAAGAACTGAAATCAGTATCAAAGAGGTGTCTGTGTACACAGGTACCTAACAGCATTATTCACATTGGCCAAAAGATAGACGAAGATACACAAAGGCCCAACAAAGGAATAAAGAAACAAAACAAAATAATATGCTACACAATGGAACGGTATGCAATTTTAAAAAGGAAGGAAATTGGTGCCAGCAGGTGGCATGGTGATTAAGACACTGGGCTGACAGCATTTGGGCTTGAAAATCACTCTGGGTATGTGTGCGTATGCTCAAAAATCACACTGGGTACATGAGCCCAAAATCCCAGGAGGAGAATAGAAGAGAAGGGATTG